TAATTTCATGAGATGTAAATGGTGCTTAACTGTTTATTATAACAATTTTAAATTATGGGTGGCAGTTATATCCTCAGTGTCAGAGGTTTAAACCAATCCAGAATAACAAAAAAGGAGAAAAGGGAGTCCCCCAAGCTGATTAAGACAACATATCCAGGCAATTACATTTAATTATATACACAAAATTAGTGGATAGGTCAAAATAGCATTTGTCAAAGTCACAACACTTTTGCCTGGTCACAAATCATATAGCCATAAACCAATACAAAGGGCATAGTCACAGAGTGCAATGGGTTTATTCACTTACTGATAAACTAATTGATAAACAAAAAAAATCAATTTCAATGAGGCCTACCTATCTCTTTTTGTATTACAATTTATTTTATTGAATCTAAAACCTGCATTACAATACAATGAGGTCTCCAATCTGACAAAGACCAAATATGATCAAGTGATTTCTAGAAAGTATGATGAATACTCAAAATGAAAGATGGAAAGTGATGTTTGCTCTATATTCTATTTGAAGCCCAGGAGATGTCTAATGCTGATGGAAAGGGGCATCTACGGTGTTTTCCAATGATTGATGGGAACCCCATAAATATCTTCACTCCTTTAGAATTTTTCAGTTTCTTCTGTGCAACCATTAATGGCTATAACAGTAAACCTTTTCTGCTACTTTATAATGAAATAGCACTTGTGCCCGTACACAGAATAAATGGCTTGGTATGACACATTCTTTATTATGTGATGATGGTGAAGCTGTGCCTCGATGATATAGAGTCTATGTCTTGGCCTCCAGAGGTCTAAAGAGGATGGAAGTCCATCTAGCAAGACAAATGGGATGTATTACAAAAATCCAGATTTGACGTGTAGACTGTATCAAGTTCGTTTAATTTTTGGTTTCCTTCCTCTCTCTTCTAACTCTTTTGAATGAGCAGACTATAAGTAAGGCTCATTCTTCTATGTCAAAAATGTCAGACGTTTAGGCATCTTGGTGCATAAACCCTGAAAAAGCTCGCATCTAGTCTGTGTATCCAGCTGCACAGTGGCATTTCACCTCACACAGTTTTGCTAGGAAAAAAATCTAATGCCTGATACTTGAGTGCAGAAGCCCACTTCCCAGCATTGCAAAGAAAAAGTCATAAAGATCAACCAATATAGAGCATAACAATTTTTGCGTATCATGGTGCGTAAGTAACAGAGTACCTACAGCATCCTGCAAGACAGATTAGTTTCAAAGTCTTTTGGGGAAATTATAACTAAAACTGAGAAAGAGAGAGTACAATAAGCAGCAGTGTGTTGCTTGCACGGCATTGTTTCTCTTGGGCCCATGAAATTTGGAAGCATTCATAGAGCTGGTCTGAAGCCAGTTGGATTCTGACAAATTTTAACCTCAGCCTCTCAGTTTCTGAAAATGAAAATACAGAAAACCTTTGGAAGCTGGTACAGCAGTCCTGTGAAGACTGGAAGCTGGTCAATCCTGCTGTTAGCTCAATGTACCAAATTATACTGAATAAATGAAACATTGTCCCCATCAGCTTGCATAAAAAATTCAGGCTAGAAGATTTTGACACAAATACAATGAAGAAGTACATATTTGATGCCTAGCCTTGCCGGAAACAGAAATGAGTAGCTACAAGCTTTTGAATTCTACTTCATAATGAGAAGCCTCATGTGGCTGGTCTGAATCCACGGTAACATTCCCGTCCTGATACCTCCAGCCATATTCACACGTTCTGGACTTTTGCGGAGCTCATGTGTGAACACCCATCTTTCTCACTCTGCTGTCTTTC